ATCCAGGTTCTTTTTAATGTTCCCCTGAAAACATGAGTAACGCTCACCTGGGTGATGGAAAAGCAAGTTGGATTGGCACTGGTTGGTAATGGGATGGAAAATTAGTATGTAAAAAAACCTAGTGATTAAGATAATAAAAACAATGTTAAGAGTCTTAGGTGAAGCCAAGTTTTAGAGCCCTCGAGCTTTTAATTGTGAAATTCTTGGCTCTCATTTTGTTTCTGAAATAGAAATCTATTTAAATTACTTAAGCAACCCAGGTTTGAGGAATAACCCTGAGCAGACCGTTGTTGTTGTGACAGGAAAACTGATATGAATTGGGTGAATAATTTTTATTCTAATTGCTTGAATTTCTAAACACTACTGAACAATTGCAGAGCCCAAAGTATTTCTTATAAAGCCATTTTAAACATTGAGGAAAAAAATGCAATGCGTTTCCAAAGTCCAGAGATGTTTGGAGTGGGAATTAAAATCGCCAGAAGAATACTGAGGTTTTAGAAGTGTTTTCAATTACTTTCCACTCCTAAAAGGTGGGTGAAAAATGACAAATTCACAAATTCTGTAATTCACTTAAATTGCGTTCAATGATTTTTCTCTTTTCCTATAAATGAATATAGAATCATAGAATCACTAAGGTTGGAAAAGACCTACAAGATCATCCAGTCCAGATTGGTTCACCAATCACCAATAATTCTCAATAAACCACATCCCTCGACACAACATCTATCATCCCAATCATGAATCTTCCTGTCATGTTTGGAACGAAGTTGTCCCTTTACACGAAGAGCAGCGTGGAGGCTGCACACTGCTGTTCTTAAGCTCTGGTTTCACTTTACGGTGACGATGATTTAAAATCTAGTTGCTCCCCAGAGGGGGTCTCCCATTCCTGTCCTTTTCATCTGCTGATCAAATATGCTCAGGATTAGTCAGTGCATCTAGCTAATTTGGTAGGAAAAAAACCTAACATAAAAATAAATGGATACTTTTCTGCTGGATGAACGGTGTGCATTGACTCATATCACAGTTGTTACACCTTATGTCAGCCTGCAGGGGCTGGCAGATAATGGTCAAGTCCTTTCCCCCAGTATTGTCTTTCCTAGGGTAAGTCACACCCCAGTTCTCACTTTTGATCTCTATAGAAAAAAAAACAGCTGTATTTTTTCAGTTTTTTCTGAGCAGTTTTGTCCTTTTCCTTGAACATTTCCCAGATCATCCTGGAGCTACCATGCAACCTGTTGGAGGGGCACCTGGAGATGCCATTGCTCTTTTCTGGAATGTGTCAGCAGCAAAGAAACCAGGAAGATTATAGAGGTATCTTTCCTTGATGCTTCTTTTATTTGGGCAATTCTATCAATTCAAAAGCTTTTTCCTTTACTTTTAAAGGGGGTCTGGCAACTAACATCCTCACTTAAATACCTCAGATACCCAGAAATGCTTTGGTAGGACCAAAAGTTTAATAATCTTGAGTTTTTCTTACAGAATCATAGAATGGCTCAGGTTGGAAGGGACCTCAAAGATCATGAATCTCCAACCCCCCTGCCACTTGCAGGGCCACCAACCTCCCCATTTAATACTAGAGCAGGCTGTTCAGGGCCCCATCCAATCTGGCCTTGAACACCTCCAGGGATGAGAGGCATCCACAGCCTCTCTAGGCAGCCTGTTCCAGCAATTTTTTTTTTTTTTCTTTTATGATTAGTGAATCAAATCAGGCAAGGAAATAGTTTTGAATATTTCAGAGTAGAAATAAAGATCCTTTATCCCTACACGGGTCTCAGCCCTCTTTTCTGGCCTGTCAATGTCTTGATGCTGAGTGCAGACATGCTCTCCAAAAGCATATTTTGGCATTCGCTTGGGCCAGAGAACAGAGGTGATTAAACCACGTGGGAAAGGAGGATGGGGGTTACAGTGCGTGAGGGACAGAAATTCAGAAGGTGGCAGCTTGAATGGAGATGATTTGCAACGTGCAGAGCAGATGACAATAAAGAAGTTAATGAAGTTGAGAGGAGAGAAAGTTCTTAGCAGTAAGGGTGTTTTAACGAGCTCCCCAAGGAAACACTGATGCTGTGCAGAACTTTGAGAGCAGATCAGGAGAAATGGTTTGGGGGAGATTTGATTTTTGTCATCAAGTAATCAGCCGTATTTCTGCAAAAATGGCCCTCCCCAGTCCCAGTTAAACAGGAACTGGCCTGAATGGTTTGTTCTAAATGTGAACGAAATATTTTCTTCCAACTGGCAAAAGTTCCCCTCTCTTTTTCCCTTTAGTGGTTTTGGTCAGACCAGAAGCGTATGTTACAGAACCTGCCAGAAAAAAAATGTTTTCATAATTGATATTTTCATAAATGCCTTTCAAAAATTTCCAGTCAGCATCCTTGGAGACAGAAATCCTCTCTCAAGCTCTACAACAGGTATTGAACAGACATCAGTTCTTACCATCTACCAGCTGGCTCCATCAATTCATTCTATCCTTGACCTCCCTTCTGACAGCTCTCACAAGCCTGTGATGTTCCCTTTGGAGGTTTATTTTTCAGCACTGCAAATCAAGCAAGCAGTGTGTTCCCCATAACCTTTCAGTGTGGTCTGGTGGCCTGTGGATAGAACATGGCTGGAGAAGTGCAGTGAAGAATTTGGGAACTTTGGACATATAACTGAGTTCAGCTCAAGTCATTCTATGACTTTATGAGTTAAATTTGTATTCTTTTCTCCTGGAAGTGACCTGTCAGCCTTGCCCTTTGGTATTGATCCTTAGTACTCTGCTGCACAAAATCTCCCTCTTCTGAGGGAATGATTCTGTTTTGTAGGGGTTATTGGCTTTCTGTCGTCTCCTCTGGTATGTTTTGAGCTTCACTTCCTAGAAATGAGATGCTGCTGTACAGCTTCCCTTCTCTCCCTTCCTCCCACCCTGCTCTGCTTACTGCTAACCAAGAGTTCCTCAGGAGCATTTCTTCTTACATTTTTGTGGCTTGTTGTAAAATGCAAAATGCAAAATTCAAGCAGTTTTCCTGGGGTGAAGCAGATAGGAGGTCTCTCCACCGTTTGGGTTGACGCATATTGAATGCCACAAAGTGTACATCCCAGAAGTGCCCCTTGCAGACCTCCATCTCTAGGCACTTATTTAACAAGTTCATTGAATTTCATCTGCTCAGTGATTTTGATCTCCCTCTGAAGTGCTGCTGAAACCCAGAAGTTTGAAAATTATCATGGACAGGAGCATACAGTCCAACAGTTTATGAGAACATGCCAACTCATGTCTTTAGGCTTAAATTACAGAGATGGAGACGAGCTAATAAATTGTTATTCCCAATATTTCATGGAATAAGAGAATCACAGAATGGCCTGGGTTGAAAAGGACCACAATGATCATCGAGTTTCAACCCCCCTGCTATGTGCAGGGTCACCAACCACCAGACCAGGCTGCCCAGAGCCACATCCAGCCTGGCCTTGAATGCCTCCAGGGATTGGGCATTTCTCAGTCTTAGAGATGGAATATGTACTTGCACACCTGAAGTTGTTTGGTTCCAGCCCCCTGAACTCTGTGTGAATTCTGCATTTGAAGCCAGCCCTAGGAAAGCATGCAGCTGGTGGTAACAGACTTCTGCTCACTGAGCTGTTCATGGCAGGAAAAAAGAGAAGCTATTCAGCTGATCCATGACCATTTCCAACTCTGTTATTTGAACTTCAAGATACATCTGAAAGACTTCACACATTGTTGGGAGAGATGTTCCACCACAGATCAAAACCACTGCGCAGGTGCAGAGATTCCCATTATTTTGGGAGTACCATTAGATAGTTTCTGCATGCCTGTGTGTGTGTGTGTTGCAGTCACTGACTTCACTTTCTCTCAGCGACCTACTAGTATCTCTTGTCTCATGGAATTGAGTGTTGTTTGCTTGTTCACAGTTTCCTTTCCTTCCGTTATCCAGCAAAGAAAGTTCGCTTAAGTGCTTTTTGTGAACTCTTTCAAGATCCCCAGAAGGATGATACAGGAAACAGTGAGTTTCCTTTCTATACAAACTTCTAGGGTGTTCCCATAATAGTCTGGAATTTATCTGCACTCGACAGCCTGCAATTGGGCAAAAATTAATGAACTGTCAAGGGATCAGGCAAAACACAATTAACATATCAGAGAGGAGAGCTTGCAATAAAAAAGAGTCCTCCAGTTACATAGCACCTTTCATCCCAAAGCACAATACTCATGTTGCCAAACACTTTCCTTTCTACCCTTGTGTTTCCAATTACTTTACAAGTTGGCCACGCTTTAACCATTCAGCCTGAAATTTTCCATAATTGCTCTCTGCCTCAAGTTGTTTTTCTTTTTTTTTTTTTTTCTTTTTAAAGGGGAGCAAAAGGGGAAAAGTTACACACACACACACACACCAGCCCTTCATTACATGTGCGCTCATTTTTCATGGAGATTAAAGCTAAAGAAGTAATTTTATGAATGTTTAAGCTTTGTGTCTCTTTATTTTGAAGAGCACTTCTGCACTGCGGGCGGCTGGAACAGAAAGGAGACACTTGGCACAGAAGCTGTGCTGGGGATCGGAGCCTGTCGCTGTCTCCGTAAAAATGTTTCTGGATTCTGCATCCCAAACCACAGCCCAACCTCTACTTGCATGCATCAGAGGCATGCCTGCACCTTGCTTTTAATGCTTGCTCACTGCAGACCCCCAGAAGCAGCCCCTGGTAAGCTGAACGTCTGGATGGCGCAGGCAGAAGGAATTCTCATCTTTCCCCATTTTACCCTGGGTGACCTGGTGCAGTGAGTTTGAGCTGGGAGGATTGTAGCACTGTAAGGGAGGGCAGGGCCTGTGTTGAAAGCTGACAAGGTAGAAGTGTGAGTCATTAAAAAGCAAAGACCAAACTATAAAGAAACACTTACATATTAAGAAAAAGAAAAAAAGCAGTTCTGGAAGGCACGTTCACCTGATGACTGACACTCCCTAGAAAAGCACCGGGTTGTTCCAAAAGTCTCCCACGAGGTGAATAAACTTTGCCAGAAATAATTGCAGATATGGGATTGTGTAATTGCTGAGTGCAGTGCAGGAACCTGTGCTTTCTGTCCCTTCCACTTCCTTCATTTCAGAGCTGCACAGTGCTCAGGACACTGGTGCTTGCATTGGCTGGAGCAGTCAGGGCAGCAGGAAAAAAAAGAAAAATCTTCTTAGCAACAACTTCACAGCATCTTAGCTTTTTTCTAACTCCATTCATAAAAGCAGCTAAACAAGGCAGGCCGCTTGGTGTACTCATTGCTGCGGGAAGCGGAAAGCTCTTGACTTGCTTGCCTGCAGATTTCATCCACTCATCAAGCAATGAGCAAAATGGCTTTAAGCCACTTCAGGCTCTGGCATTCCCATTAGTATACTCCAGTTACGGAGATCAAGGGACTGCAGAGGGCAGCGTGACATAGAGAGGATGCATATAACAGCTTCACCTCCTCTCTGCAGCAGACAGTGAGTTTGGGGAGCAGGCAACTGCCACAGTGGTGTGGTTTGAATGGCCGGGCAGCACAGTGATGCTCCCATATCATGGGCTTTGTGTCAGGCAGTGCTACCAGCAGGGTGGCATGCCTTTCTTTAAGCAGTAATTAATGGCTAATCAAAATTCAGACACTCAGTCTGCTGTAGAATAAAATCATTAGGGTTGGAAAAGACTACTAAGATCATCTAATCCAACCATCAACCCATCACCACTTTGCCCACTCAACCATGTCCCTCAGTGTCATATATACTCACTTCTTGAACACCTCCAGGGACAGGACAGTGACCTCATCGCTTTCCTGAGCAGCCTGTTCTCATACCTCACCACTCTTTCTGAGAAGAAATTTTTCCTAATAGCCATCGTGAACCTCCTGAGCTGCAGTATGTTTGGCTCACAGGAATTAAGGTTAAAAGGGATGTGATCAGTCCCCAGAAATACCTGCAGCAGCAGCAGGTGCCAGGTTTTAGCAAGCTGTCTGATCTATTGTGTGAAGAGCTGCAGAACTCATTTACTGGAGACAGAAATGAGAGACCTTCCCACTGGAAATAAGGATCAGAGGTTAATTAACTACAGGAATATCATATCGAGAATGTGAATTCCTATATAACAGCATGGGGGAATTCACTGAATATTTTAGGACAGGTCTGTTGTCCAATGAAGCTGCTCACTGTGCTGTTGTGGAGGTACCTGCTGTGTAAAGAGGGATGCTGAGGCTCCTGCCTAAAGTATCACAGAATCTAAAAGTAGTTGGTCCATCTGGTTCAACCCCTGCTCAAGAAGGGACACCTACAAGCAGTGTGCCCAGGACAATGTCCAGGTGACTTTTGGAGATCTCCAGGGATGTAGACCTGGGTAACCTATTCTAGTTCCTGCTTGGTGCCCAGGAAAGAAGGCAGATGAGATGGACTTTTCCTACCTGCAGTATTGCAACTCTGCCCCTAGCTGGTGGCTATGGAAAATCAACATGCCCTGCTTGTGAGAAAGATCCAAGAAGATCAGTGCTTGGAGTCTGTAAGAGTGCCAACCTGACAGTTTTGCTCTTCCCCCTCGGATGTCACCAGATCGCTGTCACATGAGTGTGCCGTGGGTGGGGGAATGCCCTGAGCATGGTGCTGTTGGCTGCACAGCCTGTTTTCTCACATGGTAAGCCTATGAATACAGCCTGATGATTGCTCGAGGTATAACAGAGACAATTTGGATGCAAAACAGGAAAATATCTCAGGCTCAAAGCAGGAGCTGATTCCTTTTGGACATGGAGAGCCTGAGCCTTGAGCCCTGTCCCTGGGTAGTTTAATCTCACCAGCCAGAAACCTATATGGATTTACACTTCATATGCAACGGTTTGATAATCATGTTGCCATGGCTACACTTTACTCTTGCAATAAATGTGTCATTTCACACATTTACATCAAAAGGAAGTCCAGGACATGCAGCTCTTGTGTAGCAGAGCACGCTGGTCTCCCACTATGAACACTTCCCACTTTTAACACCCTATTATTGTATTCGCTGTTTTTTTTTTTTTCTTTTTTAGGAGGTGAGGACTATGGAATAGGTTTGACAGCATGAAGATGAAGTTCCCAAGTGCTCTGTGGTCTTGTCTACTTTAAGGCTTCCTCAGGGCTGGCATCAGGGCATCAGTTTCCTGTTGGAGTCTCAGTTGTCCCTCAAGTGCCTCTTCCTAAATTCTCTCCTGAGCTTCCTCCTTCTGATGGCTCCTTGTCCCACATATAAGGACATGGGCAGCTTCTGTCTTGGTTTGAGACTTTTTCTCTCCTCTGGCCAGAAGCAATGGGCAGGTAAGTTCTATGTAGAAAGGTACAGGTAGCATGGGTAGTAGAGGAGAGGCAGCACCTATGGTAACTAAATACAATGCTGGTTGCCAGAGGTGCACCCACTAAGTATCAGATCTGGAGAGGATTTTCCATCCAGGTTCTAACCTTGCTCTTTTTGAGCTGATTTAAACAGATTTTTCAGGAATTGAACAGTTCTGCCTTGATTTTTTTTTCCTTATAGCAACAGTAGCTGGAGCATCGTCAGCACTAAAGCAGCACTAGAAAGCTCTGCTCTCTTGTGACAGTAACAGGCCTAGAGGGAATGGTATGGGGGAGTTGGACATGATGATCCTTGTGGGTCCCTTCCAACTCAGGATATTCTGTGATTCTATGAAAACTCTGTTTTAGACAAGCTGACCTTTAAATACTAATTAAACACCCATGGGATGATGTAGGAGACAGGGTTCTAAGTGAGCATGTAGGGCAATAAGTATCAAAAGATTTGCTCTGGAATAGAATGATGCTCTTAGCAGCAGTGAGGATGCTGAATTTGCCCATGTGGATGAGTGATCCCTGAAAAAAGAATCAAACACACATGCCTGTGTGATTAATCAAGGGCTAGAGGAGGGAATAAAGGAAGCGTATGAAAGAGAAATAAAGGAGGAGGAAGGTAACAGAGCAGAACAAGATGCAGAAGCTGCAGGAAGATGAAATTTCATTGGAAAAGCTTGTCTGAATGTGAGAAAGGCAGCTTGACATGCCTGGAAGGGAATGATCATCAGCTTTGTCCAGGAATAAAGTGTCAGCCTGTCAAGTCTGGTTTTCAGTTTCAGGAATATGTGCAGCACTGTACTGTAGAAGGACATGTCGGATGGGCCTGGAGGAGAGGAACCTAGCTGTAGATGTCCCTGTTCATTGCAGGGGAGTTGGTCTAGATGACCTTTAAGGGTTCCTTGCGACTCGATTCTGTGATTCTATGATTCTAACCCTGGACTGAACCTGCGGTGTTTCTAGAGTGGGAAGTTCAGACCTGGTTTACACCCCATCCATGACTAAGAGAATGGGACGTTATATTATTTTTAATCATATCAGAGCATATTGTAGTTTGTTTTTCTTCACTGTCAGAGCAATAAAATGCCGCCACAGGAGACTCCCAGTCCCCAGGGAGCATGCTGTGAGGATTTTTTTATACAGCATTTTTTGTCATCCAAGCTGATTGCTCTGAATGGGCATTTCCTTACTGAGACCAAAATGAGCTAGCAGAAGGACTTGAAGTCTCACCAGACAGTCTGTGTGTGCATATATCAAGCATGCATGTTCAGCTCTGGCCTCACCAGCATCCTGCAGGAACGTGCTAACCCACTGACTTCCATTGACTGCTTTCAATTGATCGGTTGTGTAGAAACAAAGCAAGCAAAGTTTCCGCTCTCTCAGATGTTGCAGAGGGTGTCGGGTTTGCTGTAGCATGTTGATCTTTTTCAACTGTTCCTGTTCTTTTCGTTCTCTCTTTGGGGTGGCAAAGTATTTTTTTGTGACAGATAGCTGGCCAACAAAAGGCAAGATCTCCTAGAAAAATGGACTATCACTTGCTTTTTTATTCCTTCTCAAAAGTGTAAGGGACATCTCATAAAAATGCCCCGCAAGTAAGCACAGGAGGGGCATACAGAACTATGAGCTGCCCTGTGAACATGAAAGCCATCATCAAGCCATTGCATTTCCTGTTAGCCCAACAAGAAGTATGGCCGAGTCTCCTTCCTCATACTCCGCCAACCTTCCCCTTTCTCTCCAGGGCATGGATAAAGCTTGCCTTTCCTTTTCACAGCTGCCAAAATACTGCCTTTCCTGCTCAATTACCCCATTTTCAAACACTTCCCAGAGTTTGAATACTGTATTCCAAGGCATGGGGAGAGATAACTATAGACTTGGCTGTGGATGACCTTCATTTCCTTTAGCATCTGCTCCTCCTAGGAGTTAACTGTATGCAGCAGAAGCCTGTAGTACAGGAAACAAGGAGAAGGAAGGAGAGGGTGAGCTGCACCTAAACCCTGTCCTTGAATGTCTCTTCAGCCAGTGAGGTTTGTGCGCGAATGAACCCATGGTTGTGCGTGAGACATCTCACATCCAAGCAGGCCATGGTGGCCCCATCCCAAGTCCCTGAGCTGCCACACACTCTGGCCATGCTCCAAGGACCCTGGGGACTGCAAAGGATCTGCTGCCAAGGCACTGAGCTCCCCCCTAGGCAACTGGAAGATGGAAAAAATGCAGGTCGTGAATGCTGTCTGGAGTGAGTGACCTGGATGTGTCTGCCCAGACTACACACAAAGAAGCGACGTGGGCCTGGCTCCCTCACTTACAGGCCTTTGTGCCCGTGCAACGTGTGGAGAGCCACAGCTCTTGCCTGGCTGCAGAAGAGACCACTGTTCTTCTCGGCACAATGGACTTGTCAAAGTGGATGCCAAGAGCTTCCAGTTTCCCCGCCATGTCTGCCAAAACTTCCTGATAGTGGGCTGCTCTGCAGCCTAATGCTGTGTGCTGAGGGGAGATTCAAGTGCTTGGGATATTTAGATGAGAACTGTGGAGTATGTTGACAGCTGCCACTGTTTCTTCACTCCTGAGGCTCAGGGTTTGTGAACACAAGATTCAAATACAATAGTCCCCAATTAATGACATGGTTGTGATCCCAACCAGAAACTTCTCCTGTGCCTAACAATTAGCTAAAAATGTCAAATACTCCAAAATAGGTCTGAATGAACGTATACAAGAGATACATCAAGCTGATCCGTCTGCTTCCAGTATTGCACAGGGATACTGGTCCTGCCTGTGCCTAACTGCAGAGTGTGCTCTTCTCTCCCTTGTAAAATGGTACTATG